AATATTTACAATTTTTATATCTTCTTCTTGGATTGATCCCTCGATCCTTCTGTAGTGTCCTTCTTTTCTCTTGTAATAGTCTTTATTTTAAAGTCTATTTTGTCTGATATGAGTATTGCTACTCCAGCTTTCTTTTGATTTCCATTTGCATGGAATATCTTTTTCCATCCCCCTCACTTTCAGTCTGTATGTGTCCCTAGGTCTGAAGTGGGTCTCTTGTAGACAGCATATATACAGGTCTTGTTTTTGTACCCATTCATCCAGTCTGTGTCTTCTGGTTGGAGCATTTAATCCATTTATATTTAAGGTAATTATCGATATGTATGTTTCTATTCCCATTTTCTTAATTGTTTTGGGTTTGTTATTGTAGGTCTTTTCCTTCTCTTGTGTTTCCTGCCTAGAGAAGTTCCTTTAGCATTTGTTGTAAAGCTGGTTTGGTGGTGCTGAATTCTCTTAGCTTTTGCTTGTCCGTGAAGGTTTTAATTTCTCTGTAGAATCTGAATGAGATCCTTGCTGGGTAGAGTAATCTTGGTTGTAGGTTTTTCCCTTTCATCACTTTAAATATGTACTGCCACACCCTTCTGGCTTGCAGAGTTAATGCTGAAAGATCAGCTATTAACCTTATGGGGATTCCCTTGTATGTTATTTGTTGTTTTTTCCTTGCTGCTTTTAATATTTTTTCTTTGTATTTAATTTTTGATAGCTTGATTAATATGTGTCTTGGCATGTTTCTCCTTGGATTTATCCTGTATGGGACTCTCTGTGCTTCCTGGACTAGTTGACTATTTCCTTTCCCATATTAGGGAAGTTTTCAACTATAATCTCTTCAAATATTTTCTCAGTCCCTTTTTTTTTCTCTTCTTCTTCTGGGACCCCTATAATTCGAATGTTGGTGTGTTTAATCTTGTCCCAGAGGTCTCTGAGACTGTCCTCAATTCTTTTCATTCTTTTTTCTTTATTCTGCTCTGCAGTAGTTATTTCCACTATTTTATCTTCCAGGTCACTTATCCGTTCTTCTGCCTCAGTTATTCTGCTATTGATTCCTTGTAGAGAATTTTTAATTTCATTTATTGTGTTGTTCATCATTGTTAGTTTGCTCTTTAGTTCTTCTAGGTCCTTGTTAAATGTTTCTTGTATTTTCATCATTCTGTTTCCAAGATTTTGGATCATCTTTACTATCATTACTCTGAATTCCATTTCAGGTAGACTGCCTATTTCCTCTTCATTTGTTTGGTCTGGTGGGTTTTTACCTTGCTTCTTCATCTGCTGTGTGTTTCTCTGTCTTCTCATTTTGCTTAACTTACTGTGTTTGGGGTCTCCTTTTCGCAGGCTGCAGGTTTGTAGTTCCCATTGTTTTTGGTGTCTTCCCCCAGTGGGTAGGGTTGGTTCAGAGGGCTGTGTAGGCTTCCTGGTGGAGGGGTCTGGTGGATGAGGCTGGATCTTGTCTTTCTGATGGGCAGGACTGCGTCTGGTGGTGTGTTTTGGGGTGTCTGTGAACTTACTATGATTTTAGGCAGCCTCTCTCTGCTAATGGGTGGGGTTGTGTTCCTGTCTTGCTATTTGCTTGGCATGGGGTGTCCAGCACTGGAGCTTGCTGGTCGTTGAGTGGACCTGGGTCTTAGCGTTGAGACAGAGATCTCTGGGAGAACTCTCACTGATTGATATTACGTTGGGCCGGGAGTTCTCTGGTGGACCAGCGTCCTAAACTCGGCTCTCCCAAGTCAGAGGCTCAGGCCTGACACCCAGCTGGAGCACCAAGACCATGTCAGCCACACGGCCAGGTATGTGGGGGAGTTTCTTGCCTTTTGAGAAGTCTGAGGTCTTCTGCCAGCATTCAGTAGGTGTTCTTTAGGAGTTGTTCCACATGTAGATGTATTTTTGATGTATTTGTGGTGAGGAAGGTGATCTCCATGTCTTATTCCTCCACCATGTTGAATATCTCCCCCCCTCCAACCCCATACATAGGTTTTTGTGTGAACATGTTTCGTTTTCCCTGGGATAAATGCCCAAGAGTGCCACTGATGTGTCATATGACAGTTGGGAGCTTAGATTCATAAGAAACTGCAAAATCGTTTCCCAGAGTGGTGGTATGATTTTGCATCCCCACAGCAATGCACAAGTGATTCTGTTTCTCTGTATCCTCACTGGCATTTGGTGTGGTCACTGTTTTTATTTTGGCCATTCTAATAGGGGTGTAGTGATAGCTTATTGTGGTTTTGATTTGCGTTTCCCTAATGGCTAATGATGTTGGACATGTTTTCATGCGCTTATTTTGCCATCTTTCTATATTTTTCAGTGAAATGCTTCCATATCTTTTGCCCATGTTCTGATTGGATTGTTTTCTTTTTCTCCTGTTGAGTTTTTATTTTATTTATTTATTTTTGGCTGCATTGGGTCTTTGTTGCTGCAAGCAGGCTTTCTCTAGTTGCGGCGAGCAGGGGCTAGTCTTCGCTGCGGTGCCCGGGCTTCTCATTGCGGTGGCTTCCCCTGTTGCGGAGCACAGGCTCCAGGCCCACGGGCCTCAGCAGTTGAGGTACGTGGGCTCAGTAGTTGTGGCTCGTGGGCTCTAGAGCACAGGCTCAGTAGTTGTGGCACACGGGCTTAGTTGCTCCGCAGCATGTGGGATCTTCCCGGACCAGGGCTCGAACCCGTGTCCCCTGCATTGGCAGGGGGATTCTTAACCACCGTGCCACCAGGGAAGCCCTGTACATGTTCTCTTAAGTGAATACCTAAGCATTTAATTTTCTTTGTGGTCATCATAAATAATATTGTTTTTAATATCAGTTTCCACATGTTCATTGTTAGCATGAACATTGTTAGCACAAATGTGATTGATTTTTGTGTGTTGAATGTGATTGATATTTGTGTGTTGATCTTGTATCCTGTAACCTTGGCTGCACTAATTAGTCCTAGTTTTGGTGTTTTGGGATTTGTTTGTTTGTTTATCTAGTAGGTTCCTTGGGACTTTCTATGAAGACAACCATGTCATCTGCAAATAGGGATGGTTTTATTTCTTCCTTTGCAATTTGTATGCCTTTAATTTTTTTTTCTTCCCTTGTTGCAGTGGCTAGAACTTCTAGTACTATGTTGATTAAGAACAGTGTGAAAGCCCACATCCTTGCCTTGTTCCTGAACTTAAGAGAGAAAGCATTCAGTCTTTTGCTGTTAAGCATGACACAGCTGAGCATTTTTACCACCATGTCTTACAAAATTAGTTCTGTCTTCTTTTCCTCCCCCCACATTTTTTAAGGCAAAGATTAAGACTTAGGGATTGGCAGGACTTCCCTGGTGACCCATTGGTTAAGACTCCATGCTCCCAATGTAGGGGGCATGGGTTTGACCCCTGGTTGGGGAACTAAGATCCCTCATGCCACATGGCGTGACTAAAAAAAAAGACTTGGGTATTGGCCCAACTGAGATGACAGAGCAGAAAGAAAGCATAAAGGAAATTTAAGTACTTCCTCCTCCAGGCTAGGCTTGCGAGAGTGACAGAACCAAGTTCCTTTGGTGGGGGCGGGACTTCACAGCCTTAATCAGCGCTGGGGAGCTAATCTCTTTATCAGGGCCCTTGCACTCTGCAGTGAGCTAAGGGCCCCCTGCACCTGGGGCAGTCATTGCCTGTAACACAGGAGAGCCTCACGGAATGGGGTGCCTGTCCCCTCTCTGGTTACCCTGCTCTTCCAGGAAGCTCTCGGCTGCCAGCCTCGCTGCCTGCCAACCTGAGTTGGCGATTGGAGAGTCTCAGATACCCAGATCCAGGGTGACAGGAGTGGCCAGGGCCAGATTTAGATTTGTATGTGCTTTTGGCAGTGGCTCCCCAAAGAAGAGAATGGGCTATGAAGAGAGGAAGCACGTTAAAGAGTTCCATGGCTGGGTAAAACTGATAGCGACACAGTGCATCTACAGTACGTATATTCCACAGAACAAAATTTTTATTAGGGGAAAGGGATGGGCAATTTAGTCTAAACTTTATAAAGAAAAGCAAGCAATCACTCCCTCACCCACTCCCCTCCACCCCGACCCCCGCCTTTGGGGTCAGCTCCCCCTGGGGTCCTGCAGCCTCCATTCCCCTCTCCCTGGCACGTCGCTCCGCCCACCCCACCCCCACCTGGCAGCGCTCCCCTCGTGCCCCACCCCCGGGCTGGCCGAGACCACACCTGCGCAGGTTAAACCTGCAGGGACGCGCTGCCGTGGGTGGCGGGGGAAGGTGAGTGGATGTGAGCGGTGGGATGGGAGGACGAGGCAAGGATGAGAAAACGGGCCTCTGCTAATGGCCGGTCGGCGGCCCTGGCGGGAAGGAGGGATGCGGCCATAGGGGCGCCCCGGCCGCCCTCGAGCGAGCCAGCCCCTGGCTCCTCGGGGTCCTAGTCCCACGGTTCCATCTCGCCGGTCCATACCAACGCGCGAGGCGCCAGGGGGAGGCCGGGAGCGGGCCGTTCCACTCGGGGAGGGGCGGCAGGTTAGGCCGCGGCCCGCGCCACCTGCGGCCTGGGGCGGGGGTGGGCCGGAGGCTGGGCCACGCCGCCCGTTCTGTGCAGCGCGGGCGGGCCGGGCCGCGCCGCGCCGCCCCCCGCCCCGCCAGCCGCCCGGGAGGCCCCTCCTCCCAGCGACCCGGCGCGGAGCTAGGCCGGAGCGCTCCGCGGAGCCGCAGAGACCGCCTCCGTGTCCCCGCCCCCCCCCCCCCCCCCCCACACGCTCCCCGCCCGCCTCCCTGCGCCTCCCCCCAGTCCCCCTCGTCCCGCCCCCGCGCCCCCAACCGCTCGCCGGCCTGCACCCGCCCCCTGGCCGCTCGCCCCTCGGCCCCGCCCCCCGCGTTCGCACCACTGCTGCTCCCCTGCCCTCCGGCCCCCCGCGGCCTCCGCCGCGCCCCTGTATCCCCGGCACCCCCGCCCTCCGCCCCCGCGCGCCCCCCCCCCCCCCCGCGTCCCCGCGCCCCCGCCCGCGCGGCCGGGGACGAGCGCGGCCGAGCGCATGCTGATCCCTGTCCTGCTCCTCCTCAGGCGGCGCTGGCGGCGGCCCCGGGACCCGCGGAAGCCGGCATGCTGGAGAAATTCGAGTTGGAAGAAGAAGGTGAGTGCCCCCCGCTGGAACGCGCTTCCGTGTCTACGCCGGGGGCCCGGAGGGGCCGGGGCGCGGGGACAGACGGGGGTTCACGCCCCGGAGGCCGCGGGACCCAGTCGCCCACCGCCCGTCCGGCTTCGGGCGGCGCGCCCTGCGGGGGCTGGCGGTGGAGACGCGGAGCCAGCAGAGCGTGTCTGCAGTGGCCGCGGGTGCCTTTCGGTGGCGAAATCTCGCTGGGTTCTAAGGGGAGCCCGCAGCCCGGCCATCCACACGGATGGTCGGTCCTTTTGTCCTTACAAGCCGAACTGGAATGAGAGCAAGGTGACGTGCCGTAGTAATTGTTTGTAATGCCACCATATATGTAGGGGTAACCCCCAGATTAAGCCTATGGTCCGTACCTTTAAATAACACACAGTGGTTCCCTTATCTGTACTTGTGAAAATACCACCAGCAGGGTGTGTCTTCTTGTCTTGATAGGGAAAGTTCAATAGGAAAAGCGGTGGCGGCTTAGCGAATTGGTTTTGAGTTCAGGTGATCCTGTCATTCCATCGTTCCTGTCTTCTCTTCGCTCACTCGGTATTTTTCCTTTTCCTGCCCCGTTTTCTTCTTCTTACCTGGGTCTTATTTTGAAGCTGTTGAAATGTGGGGGGATGAGTTTGTTCTTTGGCAAAATGAATATTTAACGTGGACTGTGATGAGCTTTTATCTGGATCTTATTTGGAAACTGTTAAAATTTGAAGGGGATGAGCTTGTTCTTTGGCAGAATTAGTATTTAAAATGAGATACGATGAGTTCAAAGTCTAAAGAGAACTTTGTATAAGATGCTTGACAATTTGAGGAATTTAAAAGACCTCCACACTATCTTGTGTTTTTCCGTTATTCGTTTAGTGAGTTCTCTTTTTTCCAAGAGTATTGATGGAATAAAGCTCCTGGAACAAAGCATGTGCCATGTGGATGCTGTGCCCTCTGCCAACTTTACTTTAATACTTCTGTTTATTTACAGTCAGGCAGTTACTTAAATAAGCATGCACAACCACTATGAGAACTTTAAGCCGACAGTATCAGGCCAGTGCCTACGTTTATTTTATGTTTTAAGAGTTCCCGCATTTCACAGACATGTTAGCCAGAAGATAACGTGTTCATAGTAATTATCATTAAAAGTCTGCCGCCATATTTATTATTAACAAGCAGTTACATGATACATTTCAGAATTTTACTAGGGCTTAATTTGCACTCTGTCCTACTGTCCTACTGAAAAATAATCCAGTGTGTTCAGTCGAATCCACCTCATTATTCCGTGATTTTATTATATTGCAGGTCAAACTTGGGGCACTGTCCACAGGGCAGTATGGTGTGCCCCCCTTCGTTAAGACTCTGAATATCTAAATCATAGAGTTTTCTTTGTCCCTGATTTCAGTAACAATGAGACTCAACAATTAATTGCATTTAATCATTTTGCAGATTCACATGGGGGCAAAGGAAAGTAGAGAGCAGATGCTATTGGAGAGGTGCCATAGTTATGGTTTAGAGCATAGGCCCAGCTTCAGACCGTATCTTAACTTCTTATTAAGCTGTGTGACCTTGGACAAGTTACTTAACCTCCCTGTGCCTTAGTTTTCCCATTCATAAGGTGGAGCTAATATCGGGGGTTTTTGAGGATTAAATGAGATAATCCATGTAATGGTATTTAGTACAATGTAAATCCACAGTAAGCACTTAGTACATGTTAGTTACTGTTACTGTTTAAGTGCCATCTACCTTTGTACTGAACTCATGGACTTTTTAAGCTTTTTATTAATGAATCATCCATAGAGAATTTTTCTCAGTACAGGTTTGATGGAGTTTTTTTCCTTCCTTGAGATTTATGAATTCAATTATGTTGCATTTCTCAAAGAAGATATTTGAGAAATATCTCTATGCCTTATTTCTTTTGCATTGTTTCTGCCAAGGGAATGAATATAAAATACTAAACCTAAGCATCTAAGACAAGGAATTTCCCATTTTCACCCATCTGTTTTTATCGATATTGCTGACATTACTCTAAAGCATACTGAATCACACAAATAACCCTGTCAAATTTTTCTAGATTCTTAAGGAGGCACAATGTTAAAAAGCAGTTGCTTGGAAGCTGTTAGCCAAGCCTGAAGGGGTAGTGTTGGCGTGGTTGTCTAAAGTGCTGCTTTGTTCCTTTTGAACTTTAGATTGCTTATTCATCCAAAATACGGAAAAACTGAATATCAAGCAGAATCTTACATTTATTCGGGGGAACAATAAGTCCTAACAGTAGGACATTACACCTTTAAATAGTACCCTGTGAGCTGATGTGTTAGCAGCCTACATAATATTGCTACCTAGCTGTTGAATAGGTCCTCATTTAATCTTCCAGCTTCCTTCTTATTCACTTGGTGTCATCATTTGTGCATTGCGACCTGGATGCTTTCCTTAGATGGGGATGTATTTGGTATACATGGAAACACCTGATTGCTAATATTTTTGTTACCAAGCCTTTTCCTATTTCCTAATAAATTCTAACAGATACTCTGTTCGTTAGAAAGGCATTAGTGAAGTTGGCGTAATCTGTTAAAACGTTAATTTGCTTCTGGGAAGAAAGAAGAAATTGTGCCTCTGTCTCCCATGTGTTGTCCAGGTCCTCTTTTGCCTGGGTTCTGACACCAAGTGCCCACCCACTTCTTCCTACCATCGCACCCTGACAGAGGGACCTTTCCAGAGCGTGAATTGACAGCACCACTCCTTTATGGGAAAATCTTTACCACTTTCCTGGGTCTGTGTATAGAATACATGCAGACTTCTCTTCATCTGCAGCCTCACCGCCTCATCCCGGCCGTACACACCAATGATCAGAGAGCTTTCTGTGCATAAGCCCTGCCAGAGAGCTTTTTAAAAGGCAGAGTCTAGTTCTGTGGGTCTGGGGTGGAACCTGGGAGTCTGCATTTCTGCTCAGCTCCCAAGTGCTGCTGCTGCTGCTGCTGCTGCTTCACTGACCCTGCGCTGAATAATGAGGCTCTAGAACAGGCACGGGCAAACTTTTTCTGTAAAGGGCCAGATGGTCTCGGTCTCCGTCCCTGTCAAGACTGCTCAGCCTGCCCGTGCAGCAGCAAAGCAGCAACGCGGTCCAAGTGGCAGGGCTGCGGTCCAGTCAAACTGTATTTACGGAAAGAGGCCAGGTTTGGCCCACAAGCAGAGTTAGCCAGACCCCTGTTCTGTGACCCTTCATGGTCTCGGTGCCTGAGGGTTTACATCCTTTGGAGGGTGGAGGGTAAGACCTTCTCTTGCTCCCTTTTTCCACCTGCCAACCTTCCTACATCACGGCTCAGCCCAAGTCTCACCCTCTCCGAGGCCGCTCCCTAAAGCCCTTCTGTACTTCTCCATAATCCATCTTTCTCTTCCCAGCAGGTGCTCAGCGGTGTTTTGGTATCTCAGTGACTACATTCAGTGTTTATGTTTCCTTTATGGGAACGATGGGAGGATGAAATGATTCGGTATCTGCAAAGTGATGCGAGCAGTGCCAGCCCATAGCAGTCACTTTATGTGTCTGCGTTTCAAGTGTTTAATTATATCAGCCACACCTGTTTGTTTTTATCAGGATTAACCGTCTTGAACTTATTTAACCACAGGGCCCAGCACCTTCGTAAGCACCTAAACGCAGCCAGTGAGCGCCTTCTCAAGTCGATGAGTATTCAGAAACGTATTCATGATTAACAACTCTGTAATTCTGGCACTACCTCAAGAACTTTACGGCCCCTGGGAACCACCTGTGTTATCGCCGCCTTCTTGTCATTCCAGCTGTCGCAGACTCTCCGGTTTCTTCGGGCTTTCAGCAGGTCGCTTCTTCCCAGTCACCTGTCCCCTCTCCCCTCACCACCTGCCTGCTTCCTTCAGTCCAGGCGGTCCTTTCTGTCCAAGCTGTTCCTTCCTCACCTGCAAGGCATTTCCCAAAGGATAAGCCCTTCAGAACTTGCCTCCAAACTTATTTTCCTAGCAAGATTGGTCAAGCTAGTCTGCACGATCAAAAATAGGGAAGAAGTGGGGGTAGAAGTACAAGCGAGGGGAAAGCATTATTTTTCAGTCAAGGATCTTGGAATCGTAGGCCCAGTTCTGTAATGAAGTAGCTGTATTCTTGAATAATCCTTGTCTCTTGGGGCGTTGCTTGCTTGTTTTGTTGTCGTTGTGGGTTTTCTCGGTAGACCAAAGCCCAGCATTGGTGAACTTGTACTTTTCCTTCCAGCTTGAAAATATGACCTAAGGCGACCAGCAACCACTCTACAATAAACCAAAAACGTGCATTCACTGTAACTTGTTCCTTCTCAACTGAAGGATATTGCCCTGAAGTGAGCAAAGATTGGTTCTTGTTGGGGGACAAAAAATCTTAGCTATTACAGTGGTTTCTGGCTCTCCAAAGGGCCCCTGAATGGATATACAATGTATCTGTGGTATTAAAGTTTCATGGGGGTAGGACAGTTGAGGGGGGAATGTATAGAAAGGCTGGGGGGGGGTGGATAATGAAAACAAGTTTGAGAAACACTGCCCTAACTTACTTAAGGGAGAATGTCTTCCTGTGAATTTGTGGAACCTTTTAAAGTGTCCCCTTATCACTTAGCTTTGGTAAGTGAGGCTCAGCTGGGTCCACTTGGCTTATTGACTGTACTGTGAGGGGTACTGACCTCTGGTGGTGACAAGGTTTGTGATCGCAGCTTGGTTGCTGGCCGATCATCTCGTAGTATTAGAAGGCTCTGATAATCTATCTTCCAGACTCTTTCCTTCCCGGCTGAGCTTGCATACTTACCTTAGAGAAGAGGTTTATTGTTTCTTGTTTATAAACATAGTTACAGCTTTATGAAATGTTTACAATTAAACGTTTTCTGCTCCGGCTGACCCCGTGTTTGAAAGCTTGCCATTTTCAACAGACATTTTAAAGTCAGGCTTCACATTTGATGGTATCTTAGATTTGATAAGATAAGAGTAGTTGTTTTATAGGCTGCGGAGGTTTT